TCTCTACTAAAAATACAAAAAATTAGCGGGGCATGGTGGCGCGTGCCTGTAATCCCAGCTACTCAGGAGGCTGAGGCAGGAGAATTGCCTGAACCCAGGAGGCGGAGGTTGTGGTGAGCCGAGATCACGCCATTGCACTCCAGCCTGGGTAACAAGAGCGAAACTCCGTCTCAAGAAAAAAAAAATAATAATAATAGTAATAAAGAACCTAAACTGCACATCTTTTGAGGCCGGGCGCGGTGGCTCACGCCTGTAAGCCTAGCACTTTGGGAGGCCAAGGTGGGTGGATCACTGGAGGTCAGGAGTTCAAGACCAGCCTGGAGAAACCCCATCTTTAAAAAAATAATAATAATAATAATAATAATAAATAAATACCTACTGTATGCCAGGCACTGCTTGCCACTGGAATCTTTCACTCAGGTGTTGTCTTTACTTTGCAGGTGTGAAAGCAGAGTCTGGGAGATGTTTTGGATTCATATTCATTCAGCATACATTTGAGTGCCTATGATAAGTATTCTCATTTAGAATTTGGGAATACTAGTTATACATGTTGACAAAGCAAACCATAAATGCAAACTATTTATATGATAAATAACTTTGGACTAGTGGCTGGGAGGAAGGACCAGCTGTTGATGGGTAGGAACTAGCAAGTAGCAGACTGGCCTGCATAGACCAGACCCATCCATCGTGACACAGGTGCAACAGCCACCCTTAGACACATGGATAAAGGGTCTACCAGGAAAAAACTCCTGGCCTATCAGGTGCTATGTTGCAGTTCAGTTACTGGAAGTATTTCCTCAGAAGTGTTTTTAGGGTTAAGGTACACATTCTTGCAGCTTTACCTTCTGCCAAGTCACTGTTTAAGGGAAGCAGCAATGAATTACACTGTTCCCATAGTCAAGGACATTTTGTCCCACCAAGAACTACACCTACTTAAGGAGGTGCTGGATGTCAAAGATTTGGGTCAACCATTATGGGTGTTCAGAGGAGAGATTGTTTCCAGTTCAAGACCGAGGGAAGAGGACACAGGATGGATAGCAGAGTCATAGGGAGGATTTTACACAAGACATGTACACATTAGTTAGTTGAGTATAAATAAAACAGAAATGAATGAGACACAAAGCCTTGAATGCCAGAAATACCAGTAGTTGTGTTGTGGAAGGATGTAAAACTCAACTGGGAGTGGAAGAGAAAGGCAGCAGTGAGTCTAGGAGATGTACAGTAGGTTGAGGTAAACATATCCTGAAGACTACTTATAATCCAAAGATTATTTTTGGTTTGAATTTGTTTTGGTTTGAATTCATGGTATCTGTTTTTTTTTTTTAATGAATGGTTGAGGAGGGTAGCTCGTAGAATACATTCTTACCAAATCAGCATTGATTTTCAAGACAGTACAGAGAAAGACTACTGAGCTGATGTAGAAGCTTCGGCTACAGTCTCTATGGCTTTGAGCAAGCCGTTCAACCTTACTACCGCTTCATCACTATGGCCAACAAAGTAGGGATAGTACAGAGCACAGATAATTTTTAGGCCAGTGAAACTATTAATACTCTCTGTGATACAATGATGGTAGGTACATGTCATTATACATTTGCCCAACCCCACAGAATACACAGCACCAAGAGTGAACCCTAATGTGAACTCTGGTCTTTGATGATGCTGTGTCAGTGTAGGTTACTCTATGTAACAAGTGTACCACTCTAGTGGTGGGAGGGATTATTGATAATGGGAGAGGATATGCATGTGTGGGGGCAGGCGGTGTGGGAAATCTTTCTACTTCTGCTAGTTTTGCTGTAAACCTAAAACCTCTGTAAAAAATAAAGTCTATTTTTAAAAAAGTAGGGATAGTACTATGGCAATGTAAAATCAAAGTAGGGCTGGGTGTGTGGCTCACTCCTGTAATCCCAGCACTTTGGGAGCCTGAGGTGGGCGGATCACAAGGTTAAGAGATCGAGGTCATCCTGGCCAATATGGTGAAACCTCGTCTCTACTAAAAATACAAAACTTAGCTGGGCATGGTGATGCCTGTCTGTAGTCCCAGCTACTTGGAAGGCTGAGGCAGGAAAATCGCTTGAACCCGGGAGGCGGAGGTTGC